AGGTACACCGAAAATAGGGGGTCCCTTATTTTGGGGTCCTAATCATAATAACTATAAGGATCCGACTATTTAGGGTACTATATGCCCTAAACCCTAAACCCTAAACCATGTTGGGGTTCCCTATTTTCGGAAACCCCCGTCTGGTCTTGGGTTCAAAAAGCTGAGTTGGCAGCTTCCCGCGTTGTGGGCCCAGCGCTTCAGAACACGTGGGCTTCGGGTTAATGTAGGGGCCTTAATAATTAGAATTGGGTTTTGGGGCCCATGTTACTATAATTACCATAAGGAACCACCAAAACAAGTATTGGTAATTATTCAGGCCCCTACAGTACTCCATTATCATTATCGCATAATTACAATGAGGAAACACCCCCAAAACAGTATTGAATTGGCAATTATTTAGGCCCCTGCATTAGGCCCTTTTGGGGTTCAGGTCCAAGTTGTAGGGTTGCGGACTTAGTGCATGTCGGCGGTCAGGATTGAGGGCGTGGGACTTCAGGGGTTTAGGGGTTTAGGGTTTAGAGTTCAGGGGTTTAGCTTGGGACTACTCGATTGCGTTTTGGGGTTGAGGGTCCAGGACGTGGTGTGTGTGGAGATTGGCCACGATTTAGGTGTCGATGACTTTGGACTGTAGGGGTTGTTGGGGACAGCAGTTGTACCGGGCGTAGCTGGCAGAATTACGGGTGCACACGGGGTGTCGTTCCGGGACTCAAGGTTGCTCAGTACAGGAACAGAGTGGTAATCTTTCAGTAGCACCTTTTGGTGTATACATGATAGGTAGCGGTTCAATTTGTACCAGAATTTGCCAGCCTTTTTCTTTGGGTAAGAGCGATCTCCTCGTAAGGAGGCAAAGTCTAAACAGTGCCTCCTTCAGAAGGATCTGTAGAACACGCGGCATCCAACCCTGTGCACCTAACAGGTTCGTCAGCGGTTTGCGGACCAACACTGAGCCCACATATCATAAAGTGTAAAGTCCGGCAACCCTACAGTAAAACTCCAAATCCCTGCAGCCCGAAACCCTACTAAGATGCTTTGAGTGGACGCATCTCACCCCTAAAGCCTAGCACCCATCGGAGATTCTGAAGCCAAAACCCTGTCGCGCAGACTGGTCCTGGATTGAGGCCCCGGCTCTGCTTCTTCTTGTCAGAACCCTAAACCCTAAACCCTAAACCCTAAACCCTAGGGGTGGAGGGTTTTGGCTTTCGAGTTTTGGCTTTCGGGCTTTAGGGTTTTTTCGGGTGTGGGGTTTGGGCTTTTAGGGCTTTAGAGGTTTACAGGGCGTAGGGTTTTGGCTTCAGGATTTCGGTTGCGGGTATACCATCATTAACCCTAAACCCTAAACCCTAAAAGCCCTAAACCCTAAACCCCATAGTAGGCCATTGCTGTGTGCCTTCGAGCACGGAAACCGCGGATTCTTCCGGAGTCCCGAGATCCGGGGGACGAAGAGGTAACGAAGGGGCGAAAATATTAGGGTTTAGGGTCATGTAGGATCTAGGGTTTAGGGTTTAGGGTTTAGGACCCATACTATTTTGGGGGGTTCCGTATTGTAGTTATGGTAAGAAGGACCCCAAAACCCTATTCTAGTTATACTAAGGCCCCTATATTACGCAAGAAACAGCGTCTGGTTGATAGTCTGGGTAATAAGGAATACTACTAGGAATCGTTTCCACCTTTGCGGGCGGTCCTTGGGGCTCCAGTTTTCTTCTAGCCCATCCTCTAAGGGGTCCTACATAGGTTTTTCAACTTTCTCTTATGGTACGGGTCAAGCCTCCTCCTCCTTCTAGCAGCATCGTTCCCGTAGCTATACAGGAAACAAAATCTAAGAGGCTTCTCCCATTAACCCTCAAACCGCAAAGCCCGAACCCGCAACCCCTAAATTCTGCAGCCCGTAAAGAACCGTCCAGTTGTGTCATCTTTCTGATTTCGAGCGGGCCCCCTTCGGCTTCTGAACGTTTCTAGTTGAGGGTTCAGGGTTTTGCTGTTTGGGGTTCGCTTTCAGAGCTTCCAGATTGCTACAACAAACATGATTTTGGGGTTCAGGGCTCAGGGCTTCATGGCTGCAGGGTGTAGGGCGGAGGATTTGCTGTGAGATTTTGGGTTTGGGTCCCCAGGTCCAAAGTCAAAAAGTTTCAGGCATTGGGTCTATAGGGACTTTGAAAGAGGTCTACCACACTTGGATGTGCACTACTACTTTTGTCCGGGGTGCTGCCTTCAGTTTCGCACGCCAAGCCGACACTGAGTTGGCATAGGGGGAACGGCTCTTTGTGCCGTTGGCGGAGGAGGCTCTTTGGCCTGTGTGTGTGTGTGTATGTGTGTTTGTTTGTGCGTGTGGATGGACTGACTAAGGGATACGCGCTTTCTCCGTGCTTGTGCCCCCAGCTTAGTACTTCTGTGAGTGATCGCAGGAGGAGGATGCCGGGAAACGAGCTGTCTTGCCAAGTGACCAAGTCCAACCCAAGCTGGTATGGGGTACTCCCTCTTCCGGCTCGGGATAGAAGGGCCCGACTTGTCGCACTGTTGTCCGACGGAAGGGCTGAGGTGGCGGCAGGGAATATGATGTGCGACAGCGAGCATCCACGACCATCCAGCCACGACGTGCAGTACTGAAATACCTTAGACCCTAAACCCAACAGTCGTAGTCAGTTTCAACCCTCAACTCCAAAATCGAAGACCCTAAACCAACCTCCGCAAAAATCCCGCTCTCCCTTCCTCACCTGCAGCAAAACGGAACCTGGGCAAACCATCGACGTGGCAGGGGCGCACAGGCTCCAGCCGCGTGTCTTTCACTCCATTATTCACCTACGTACATATCTGCATTTGCATGGAGGTTTTTTGTCCGCGTTGATGTAACTCAGGAGCTCCCTGAAGTCCGTCGAAGCCTTATGAGCAGCCCTTGTGACAGCAGTCTGAGCAGCCAGTCCTCAAACACAGTCCCCAGCGTGAGATGGTTCGATGGCAAGAGAGGAGTGTACTTACGACTAGTTTGAAACTTCGCCTGAGTTCTCACTCTCGAGCAGAATTCGCATGTCCTTGCCTGCTGCGAAGGCTTCTATGGTCTTTCATGAACCCACGTGGACCATCGTGCGATGTCGGCAGGGCCTGGCTCCAGTGCTTCTCTGCCTTTGCGACTTGTCGGGACCATGGGTTGGGGCTGTCCATCACTTGAAAAGGTTGCTGCCCACGTGCTCCTTGGTTGAGTACGGCCTTAGTTCCGAACTTGGCGTTGCAGCTCCGTGCAAACAGTCACGCAAGCGGTGGCACGTCCTTGTGCTGGCCTCTCACCGCCATCACCTCCGAGCTTCTGGCTTGCCCAAAGCACGCGCTTTTTTATCTTCCTGACTGCATCTTCATTGCCATTGCCTCGCAGCCTTTCACGTGTTCCGAGCTTGCCCAGGATTGGCATGGGTGTCGCCCCAACACCGGTGTGCTGACCTGCACCAGGGCCTACGTTGCAGTGCTGTCTTTTGCGTGCCACCTCTATCCGTCCCATCGCCATCTCCGTGCCGGATGCCCGCCTTCATCAGTACTTAGATAAACGCGATTTGCTGCACTATCTCTGACACCGATCTGGCATGTCAATGCAAATGTGGCTTGTCCTCTAACCTCGCACGCAGGATGTCGCGGACAAGCTCGGAGGCCAGATATATGTTCCTCAGACTTGCAGACATTGCCTTACGCAAGTCTGCCTGCCAGGCCACCAGTGTGCAAGGACACTCGGACGAGGATCCGGAGGACGAGGGTGCAGATAAGGAAGACGTTGAGTGCCAGGCCCCGATTCGCAGTACCAGTCACACTTGCAGCAACAGCCGTCTGCTCTACATCTCTGCGCACATGTCTCTCCTTCTTACCTCAGGCCTCAGGTCCCGGCGCACCTGTTTCACACATACATGTCCGCTCAATTTTGTCTGAGTCCAAGCTTCTGGAGGTTCTTGCAAGTTACAAAAGGCAGACGGTGAAGACGACATGGAGGACGAGGATGAACATTTGGAAGAGCATGCTTCCCAGGCCTGGGCAGCACTAGTGGCTCTTAATGCATCTACTCGCACGTGGCCACATTAATAATTAAGCGTGATTGCCTCCAGCTGCTGTTATGCAAACATTCAATGTTTGTGTGGCTCACTCCCACGCATTGGCCAGCCTGGACGGTTAGTGTGGATCCCCGCGCGAGCAAGAAACTTTGGTGTTGAAGAAAGCGCATGAAACAGGCGAGTCTTGGAAGCCGGCAAAAGCACAGTTGGCCTGTCCTCTTGTTTATATTCCTGCTTCACAGAGCGACTCCCAGGCGACAAGGCCCGTGCCTCAGAAGAGAATCAAGCCTTAGACCGAGTGTTCGTGGGCATCGCGAGCAACTGCGACCCGAAGGTCCCTGCCTCCGCCTGATTGTGGGAGAACCCTTCCTGCGGAAGCCCGCCCACAGTTGCAATGTTGCGACCAGAGCACATGTCACTCAAGATGGAGATGGTTCAGACTCTTGGATAGAGCTGCTTGGCTCATCACCGCGGCAACAAAAGCACCCATGTCAGAGCCACGGTACATATGGGAGGTGGTGCTCTTGAGGATTTGGGGTACATTCTTATCGTATATACTAATGCAGGGACGTGCGGGTGTTGTCCTCCCTGGCCCGCCAACATGGCCTGGAAACTGTAAACGACGCAGCCCCCCAAGCCAAAGTCGAAAAATTGAGCGGCGATTTTTATTGAATCTTCAGCTAACTGATGAAGTGCGACAGCAAGTGGTCGAAGCTACGGCAGCTTTCCAAGCCACATACCCAGATGTTCAGCCACAAGCCGTTCAAAATCCGGCCGACAACGAAGGGTGGAAGTTCACTGCAGTACAGGTGACGTACAACTGCAGTCAAGGCGAGTGGGCTTCGCATGAAGATGACGTCTTGCGGAGATTGTTCAACGGCTTCGTTGGGTTTTTGATCGGACTCTCAGAAGCTCTTCATTCTCTTGGCACGTCGGCTACCATGGAAAGTGCATCACCAAGGCAGGTACACATGCATGCCTACCTCCATGTGGGAAAGAGTTTCCACCGTCGTGGGCCTGAGGCCCGTCGTTTTCAGCTTTGAGGGTGTCAAGCCGCACCTCGCCCCCAACACGGCATCTGGCAAGTCCTACATGAGAACCGTGCGGTATGGCGACTTTTACGTTGTGGTCAACAAGATCAGAACCATGCAGCTTGGGCGTTCCTAACATAACGATTTTGCCAAGTTTGTTTAAACCGTGCAGGTCCTGGTAGTCATGTTTTTGCGGCTTGTGACCACGCAGACAGCCCAGATTCGACTACACGGACATTGAGCCTTTCAAGGCGTACGGGGTCGAGGGGTGGTGGCTGGACAACCTTTTGAAGACCGGCAAGCTAACCCGTGAAACCTATTTGCACCTAGCTGCCCGTGCTACAGATGGGTTCCAGAAACGTCTGGCGGATTGCAGGGCAGCCGAACGCTGCTTGCAAGAAGAGTCTTTACGCGCTGAGGTTTCGGCGCAACAGCATGCGCGGGTCTCAATAATTAGAATAAAGATTTGAGATATGCTATAGCATATAATAACACAGGGGCAGGCTTTCTATATCGGCCCTATGTTCTACAACAACAGTAGCGTGAAGCAGGTGATCGTATCCAGAAAACACATCAGAATTTGTTTAATCATTTGTCTAATCATGATTCGGCAATAGTTCGAAAATCTGCTCCTAAATTAAAACTTCTGGGTTCTTTCATCGAAATAAATCCTTAAGCCCCACATAAGCTTAAATTCAAAAACTTCAACCCCATGTCAGGCCTGGCGTTGAGGCGGCCAGGTTTTCTCCCGTGGCCCTGCCGGCGCGTTTTTAGGTTTAGATTTTAGATGCGGCCTTGAGCCCCTAGTTCGAGGATCTGGCCGTTTAGGTTGAGGGTTGCCTAAACGTCAAAACCCACTTCAACACAAAGACAGGCAGTCGATTATGAAGAACTCTAAACACGTAGGTTCCTTGGTGCTTCAAGGTTCCGATTGCGCTTCGGGCGCCGAACGCATAAGCGGTTGAAGTCGAACTCCTTTTTTGGTTGGTTGAAAGCCTTCAAAACCCACATTTCACAGATCTCAATCGTGGCCAGGGCTGCGCGATGCTTGTTTCTCCGATTCAGAATGGTGTTGCAAACTAGAATCGGATATTATCCCAGGCATTGTAGATTGAATACAGGCGCCGGTCCTTTTCTGCAGACCCCGGCTATCCCCACATTCGAAGACAGGCACTGCTTCGTTCTTGAATATACACTGCAGCTTTGCAATCTACAGTTCGGGGTTGAGGGTTTACCTACACGAACGGTCCACAAAGCCCGAAAGCCTCAGCCCCAAACCCTCCAGGATCAAATTGCCTGCGCCCGTAGTGCACCCCTTGCGGTAGGCGTCCAGAACACGAGCTCGAAATACTGCAAACCCTAAGATCTACATGCTGCCCTAAAGCCCCGTTACGCTAAACGAAGTTAACGGCAAACAAACGTTGGCGAAAAGCAAGAATGTTCAAACTTAAATTCAAAACCAAGAATTTTAAGCCCTACAGGAGAAAAACAACTGTCAAAAAACACTCACAGGTAAACCCGAGACCCGAAAGTGTAAACCCGAAGTCCTAAACCCAAATGATGGCGAAGACCCGGCAGGTGCCGGCCCAGGGTTTCGCTCATGCTTTGACCTTGGCCTCTTGAGCGGTTCTTCTTCAGGGGCTGCGGTTTTAGGATTTAGGGCATTTTCGGGTCTAGGGCTTCGGTTTTGCAAACGGTTTCGCAGGGCTTTGTAGGATCTTCACGGGTTCTATAAGCGTTTCGGTACGGCTTCATAGGGCTTGTATTGTAGAATATTGTAGTTTTATGAGTGCTGAATATGCAGGGTGTTCCTGAAGGTTGCAAAGCTTCTATAAGGGGTTTTGCAAGGCTCGGTGCGGCTTCGGGTTTTTTTCCGGATGGTTGTCATAACTTGCGAAGGTGTTGCCGGGTCTTTCTGGTGCTGGTACGGTAGAACTCATGATGCTACTGGGCTTGAGGGCTGGGGATAGACTGACAAGCCAAGAATGAGGATGATGTCGGGTTTTCGGGTTCGGGAGCTTTGTTGAGGCAAAGCTTTCTAGCTTCTTTAAAAGGGGTCTTACGGAGGCCCCTCGAGGTCTTCGGTGCTCGTATAACATAGAAGCCGAAAGCTACCTATATTTATCCTTGAGGGTTCCTTACTATGATGATATTATAAAGGTGCCCAAGACCCTACTCTCATTATTAAGGCCCCTACATTAGAACCCTAAACCCTAAACCTTAACATCCTCAGGGTTTCTCATCGGCGATGGGCGTCTCGTCTTCGGTGCGGCCCTCGGTCAATGTGGAGCTGAGCCAAGCTGAAAGGGTTGTCTACGGGTTTTTTTTACGTGGATATGCTCATCTGCTTGCTTTTAGTTTAAACCGCTTTGTCGCTGATTTGTTTCAGTCTTTGGTGTTTGTTGTTTGTATGTTGTTTTTGTTTATTGTGCTTTCTTTTTGCGATGTTCAATCGTTTTGCTCGAAGATCACGCATCGGGATTGGAGGTTTAACATAGTTTTAACCAAGACATGCTCTCTTGAGTTCCAGATTACTGCGAGTTCCTATTCGGGGTCGGTATAGTAAGAGTTGTATAATCTATGGTCTCCTTATAATGTACTTATAATTAGTGTTGTAACTCTAAACTCTAAGCCCTAAACCCCACTCTAAGCCCTAAACCCCATACAACCCCAAACCCTAGATTTTAGGGCCCCCCGGTTTCTGAAACACCCATCTGGCCCGGGCTCGGCTTCTTACGAAGCTAATTTCTGAAAGCTCTTATACACCGGAGACCCCGAAACCCAAAAGCCCAAAAACTTCAAAGCCATCTAAAGCTCCCAAAGCCCCAAGCAGTACGCCCCAAAATATCGAACCTTCAGGTCGGGATCAGGGAGTGCAGGTAGGGCCTTGGCTTTGCAGTCCAGGGGGCCCTTGATGCATGGGGGAGGTCCCCCGGTTTAGGGTTTAGGGTTTAGGGTTTAGGCCCCTCCTTTGGCGCGTTGGATACGCGGCAGGGCAGTCCGGAAGTACTAAATGGGTAGTTCTCTAAACTAGGGTCCCTTTTTAAGTCCCCAATATAGTACGGCACCCGTATAAAAAGGACCCTTAACGGGACCCCAATTCTGGAAACTACCCAAATTCATCTAAACTCTACAATCCAGAAGGCAACAGGCTGAACGCAAAGAGGAAGCACCCTTCTTGACTTTCATGTACGGTCTACGCTTATCTGCCAGTCTAACTTCGAGTTCTCTTCAGGTCCCTGACACCCAAGTTCCTGACGACTGAAGCCCTGAACTTGAGCAGGCTGACCACTGTAGGGGCCTTAATCATTAGAATAGGGTCTTGGGGCCTATTATAGTATAGTTAAAATAAAGAAATCCCAAATAGTATAGATGATTCTTCAGGCTCCTATAGTACAGCATTGAAAACTCTTGAGGCTAACACCCTAAACGATAAGAGCCCTGGGCCCCAACCTTCCAAAACCTACAGGCCAAACCCTACGTGCAAAACACACCTGAGCCCAAGAGCCCTAAAGGCTTGGAAAGAAGAGAGCAACCAAGAACTTGAAACGTCCTGTAGTCTGTCGCAAAAAAGCCCTAAGCCCTAAATCCTAAACCCTAAACCCTAAATCCTAAACCCTAAACCCTGAAAACCCCAAAACGACCAACACACGCAAAGAAGAAGAGTTCAGGAACCTTCTGGGTTTCGTTCTTTTAGCCAGCCTCATATAGGGGCCCTTAAGATAGGGGCTCTTAAAATTCGGGATAGGATTTTGGGGGGGGGGTATATCAAATTATAATTATAAGAAGGAACCCCCAGTTATTAAAAGCTTATATATTATACTATAATTACAATGAAGAGCCCCCTCTACTGGTTTAGGGTTTAGGGTTTAGGGTTTAGGGTTTAGGGTTTAGGGTTTAGGGTGCCCCTACAGTAAACCCTACACCCTAAAGGGCATAGCCGCTAAGCTCAGGCTGCCACACAGTCGCCCAGCGAGCTGCCAGTTCCCACCGAGCGTCCATCACCGACGGAGATGCCAGTGGCGGTGGGGCAGCCCAGACGGTTTAGGTTTAGGGTCTAGGGCGGAGGGTTTAGCGTTTGGATGTTTAGGTTTTGTACACGATCCTTCTGAAGAGGGCGTACGGCTCAGGGCGTAGGGTCTTTGGCTTGTGCGGGAAATCCGGAGGGCGGTGTGAGATTGGGTCGCTTTCGGTCTATGGGTAGTTCTCTAAACTAGGGTCCGTTTTTAGGTCCCCAGTATAGTACGGCACCCTTATAAAAAGGACCCTAAAAGGGACCATACTTTAGAGAACTACCCATATACACCTAAGGAAAGTTCTAAAGGTCTCCCAAACTCGCTACACCCTTGAGCCTTCAAGCCGGGTTTCGGATGCAATGCAGTCGCTACCTGCTGTTACTAGATGCTTACTACTGAACATGTGCGACTAGAGATGAGATGACATTACGCAGAATAGCAAGAAAAAATAGCAGCACCAGACCGGTCATAGAACAGCAGGACGTATCAGTAGCAACCAGTGGTAATCCTAAGCCCCAAACCCTAAACCCAAAAACCCTGAACCCTACCATAATCGCAGTTGAAAGGATGATGTGACACATAGTAGCCTGTGACAGTTTCTGTGGCAAACCCTAAACCCTAAGCCCTACCTGGCCCCCAAAGAACCTTTTTAGGGCTCCTCATTATGACTTCTTTATATAAGTCCTTAAACAGATAGGTTATTTGGGGTCAAGGTGGTTCCTCATTATGGTTTCTTTTATATAAGTCCTTAAAAAGGTATGGTTATCATTTGGCGTCAAGGTAAACCTTAAACCCTAAACCCTGGACCCTAAGCCCTAAACCCTAAACCCTAATGACCCTAATTACCCCCACCTTTGTCAAGAGGCCCGTCAAAGGCCAGCAGTCCCCGTCGTTGCCGGCGGCTCAGTCTTCAGGGGGCAGCCGAACTGCGTCCAGATGTGTCTTACAGTTTAGGGGTTTAGGGGTTGAGGG